AGGAGCTAGCAAAGGGGTCAGCTTCTCTTAAAACCTGTGCAAAAGGTTTGCAAAATGTGCAAGTTCTCTGGAGCTTAGAAGGGTTTCAAAGCTTCTTGGAAGCTTGAGCAAAGGTTCAAAAGTTTAACCTTCCCCAAAAGCTAAACACAAGGGTCCAAAAGGTTCAAGCTTCCTCAAAAGCTAGAACAAGGTTTCAAAAGGTTTCAAGCTTTCCTTAAGAAGCCTAGACCTAAGGTTTCAAAAGTCCACCCTACCACAAAAAGCTAAAATAGGAGTTCAAAAGGTTTCAAACCCTACTCAAAGCAGGGGTTCAAAATGTTCAAACCCTCTCAAGAAAAGGGCCTCGGCCAGAAAAGAGCGGCCGACTTTGACCAAAATCAGTGGCCGGCTGAAAACAGGAGTGCCGACCGGCCCAAACGATTTGGACGAGGGAAACAAAGCACAGCCCGGTGGCCTCAAGACATGGCGGTTGATTGTGTGGGGGATGGCCATCATGCCAGCTCCCTGCCCCTTAAAGGCAAAAACACAAGTGTTTGTGGAAAACCAAACACAAAACTGTCGAGTCGAGAGATCCTGGGCATGGACGCGTAGCCGAGACCTCGGAACTCAAGACGAAACACAAACAAGACGATCACGAGTGTTCAAACGGTGAGGCCAAGTCGTGAGGACAGCGTCAAAATGGGCGGGTTACAGTTGCCCCTCTTTGACGAACTCGAAAGTCGTAAGAATGACGGAAGTGGTGTCAAAGCCCATAGACGACCCATTTTTGACATGGCGAAGACTTAGACAAAGGCATACAAGCAGCAGACAAAGATATGCGCATCGAGCGCAGGGCAAAATGGCAAGACAATGCACAAAAGACCGAGCATAACTTATGATCATGCAAGAAACATAGGGACGATCCTGTGTTTGGGAAAGTTATAAGCATTGGAACGCATCCAAATGATCTTAACCAAAGAGTGGGAAACATAGGGACACTATCCCGGTGATGTAGTTCAAATGGCCAGAAACTAGACCCTTTGCACCTCTAACCCACCACAAATGTAGAGAGAGAGGGAGATATGAGAGGAGACGGGTGATATACGTATGATATATTATCGCATTTTCTAACCTTTGACAATGGGAGAGAGGCCCTCCTATTTTATAGGAGAAGATTGAAGGCTTGAAGCTTCTAAGGGAAGCTATTGGCAAAAGGGTGCAAGAGGGTCAAGCTTCTTTTTTTGGGTGAATAAGGGTGGTCAAAGCTTCTCTGTAGAAAGCATGGAGCAAATGGGCCAAGCTTCTTTGGGAGAAGCTAGGCAAAGGGTCAAGCTTTCCTCTTAGAACCTCGTGCAAAAGGTGCAAAAGGGCAGGCTTCTCTTGGAAGCTTAGAAGGGTTACAGCTTCTTGGAGAAGCTTGGAGCAAAAGCTTCAAAAGGTTCAAAGCGTTCCCAAGAAGCTAAAACCAAGGGTCAAAAGGTTCAAGCTTCCTCAAGAAGCTAGACCAAGGGTTCAAAGGGTTCAAAAGTTTCAACATCCTTAAGAAAGGAAGCTAGAGACTAAAGGGTTCAAAGGGGTTTCACTCTTCCCACAAGAACAAAACAGGTTTCAAAGTTCAAACCCTCTCAAGAAAAGGCCTCGGCCAAGAAAAAGTGGCCGAGTTCTACCAAAATTAGGGCCGGGCGACACAGAGTGCTGACCGGCCAAACATTTGCCGATGGCAACAAAGCACAGCCGGTGCCTCCAAGACCATGGCCAGGTGATGTCGTGGGGTATGGCCATCAAAAGCCACTCCTTTGCCCCTCGAAGGCAAAACACGAAGTGTTGCTGGGAAAACCAAACACAAAACAGTCGAGTCGAGAGATCCTGAGGCAAGGCGCGCAGCCAGCCTCCGGGAACTCAAAGACGGAACCAAGACGATCGAGAGAGTTGCTACGTGCAAAAGCTACAGCGAGTCTTGTGTGACGCAGAAACGGTCGGGGTGAACACCCAAGACGCCAACTGAGAGAGAGCTATCCCATTGTGTTGGTGGTCTGGCTTTCTCCCTGAATATGTCAAATCAGGCAGTCGAAGGAGTATGAAGAAATGCTGACGGAGAGTGAAGGTGTGTAGCTAAACTCCAGCGTGGGCATGTTTGCATAACATTGCCCCTCTTTGAAGCCAGGTATGACTCGAAAGCTGCATAGCCGGCATGACGCGGAGACTGCCTTGCACGTGTCAGAAAGCCGTCGAGAGAGAAAGCAGGACCATATAGTGCTCTATTGAACAATCTAGGTGATAGCGTGTGATAAATGTGATGTATAAATTGATCGAAGAAGGAGATACATACGGAAGCGGAGCATAGGAACAATAGATTGTTAATGATTTGTCTCTCTCCGTAGATTGAAGTTATATGAAGTAAAGGGTACATTCTCGTTCTAATATAGAGGAGAAAGATGTAAAACAATCAATGTGGATGCACAGCAACAGTAGATGGCCAAACTCCACTAGACGAAAGAAAGTAAAGGCACTAATCCTAAGCACTATCTCATATGCACTAAATATAAGAATATTCATGTCATAAACGTAGAGAAGGAAGAGTTTCGAGTTCCAATGGGATATGACTCCGTATTTCCTCCCTGGTAGTTCTCCTATTCGCACATAAGCGTTTTTTTTTCTTTCACTATTGGCATTTTTCTTTCTGGAACGTATTTCAATCCTCATTGCTCTTACAAAGAGGGGGAAACATAGGGGCACGCAACCAAGTTAGCTCGGTATTCTACTCGCTCTCAGTGTGTCTGTGTATTGACCGTCTCCAAAACACAATGAGCCAACTGTACACTGGAATCCCCCTATTCTCACACCGTGACCTAACCAACCAAACCACAATCCTCTAGCAAAAACCCTGCATATATGGTGAGAGTTTACTTCTCTCTATAATGATGACCAGAGTCATGAACCACATACTACAATGGTGCTTCTCATTCCATAATTATCATCACGCATTGTGCTCTCACTCCCCACCTGCGTGAAATATGGGCGATACGCGAGCATGCCTCTCTCTTATTTGCCTATAGTGGGAGATGAAGGCTTGAAGGCTTCTAAGGGAGTAGAGGTGGTTCAACAAATACAGCGCCGGTCCTGTCAAGCCTAGTCTAGCTACTGCTACTAAAGTGGTCGGCTAACAGAGTTTCTCTTAGAAGCCCTAATTCGGGAAGCTCATGCTAACAGAGGCTCCTGAGAAGACTCGTAGAAGTGGCATAGTGTGCGTATGGACACAAGAGAGGTCAAGCTTCTCTTAGAACTTGTGGACAAAAGGGCAAAATGCTAGTCTCAAGCTTTCTCCTTGTGCGTAAGATGCTGAGTGCAGAAGACAGAGTTCTGAGCTCTTCTCTTGGAGAGATTTCTGCGTCTTTTACTATTTTTCCGTCCTTGTACCACTTACACGTTTGTTTCTAGTCCCTCGTATTCGAGTGAGAGAGATATCTTGCGAAAGATGCTGAACCGCTATCTTAGAGGCTTTCCATAAGGTAAGTCAGATTGCTCGGTGCATCTTACCTCTTTTTCTGCATCGCGGCTTTATGTCCCACAGGGTTCTAAGAGAAAGCTTGACCCCTTTGCCTAGTAGGGCACGTACGTTTGCAAACTGAAAGGAAGGCGTTATAGTGTGCTACTCTCACCGCTTCATAAGCATGTCGCTAATGGGCTCTTCGCTAAAGAGAACAGATATCGTGTAATCGCCCGCATTACCGTAGATCTCTTTTTG